GCCCTCCCCTCCCTTCCCCTCTCTCTGTTCCACTCCATTCTGTCCAGCTCCATTCCACTCTATTCCATTTTATTATTTTTCTACTTATACCACATGGAGATAACTATTTCCCTGTTTTCTTGATATAAGAGCCCCCCAGAAACACCCTCAGTCCTTTACTGTTACCAGTTCAGTCCCAGGCACCTTTGCCATATAATCACAGTCACCATTATCACAGTACAAATAGCTTTGCCTTCCCAGACTGAACTTCTCATTTTCCTTGGGGAGATGAGCAGCTCTCATCCATCAGAGTTCGAACAGTGGCTTGTACCAGAGGGCAGTTTCTATAATTACATGTTACTCCAACAGAACTTCCCACAATAATTACAAAAATAGCATTTTTTTTTTTTCTTTTAAATCTATATCCTAGGCCATCATTCCTGGCACAGAGCAATGGTTTTTCATTCAGTTTTAGGTATGTTAAACATCTGTTTCAAGGGTCTTGCATTGCCTTCCCCAGGGACATGTATTGCACTGGGTGATTTCAAGGTTGCATCAGAATCCCAGACCTTCCAAGCATGAGGTGAAGCAGAAATATCACATTTTTGGGTATCCTGGTGAAGAGAAGGCTCTGGGAAGACCTCACTGTAGCCTTCCAGTACCTGAAGGGAGCTTATAAACAGAGCTGTGCACCACAAGTGAATTCAGAAATCTCCCCAGTCCAGAAAAACATCATGAGGAAACATTTTTATTTTGATTGGGAAGAAAGCAGACGAAGATTTCCATTTCCACTCCCTCTCTCCTCCTCCAAGGAAGTGCAGCAATCAGTACTGCACGAAATTCTCATTTCCCCCCTCGCACGCAGAGAAACTCTCCTTGGGCTTTCTCCTGCAGATTAAAAGCAGTATTTTCTCCACTGAGATGTGTGAAGACTGAGAAATGCGTTTCTCTTCTTTAAAATTATTTGAAAGCTCCTGAACAGAACCATTCCTCATTTTTAAACTTCTTTTTTTTTCTTTTTTTTGTTTTCATGCAGTGTTTCTGCCTGCAGCCATCCCAAAGCGCTCCCCATGTGCACGGCCCAGCCAACAACAAGACCTGGGAAGGCACAAGGCTTCCCCCAGCCCTCACTCCCCATATCTCACCCCAACCCAAAAGCTTCATCCCCACCCCACTGAGCAACCACCCCTGCAACATGGATCTCTCCATTCCAAGCTCCTAAATGAGTGTGAGGAGCAAAGATGCTGGTTGGGAATCCGGGTTCTCCCAGCAGGGCCTTGGACAGCAGCCTGGTGGAGGCACAATACCTCACTCATCACACCCAAAATGCTGTCCCACCGTCCCCAGCCCTGGGAAGGAGCCCAGCCAGGACCTAAGGGAAGTTTCTATATAGGAAATTCTATGGGACCCGTTCAGCAGCTTCACAATTCTGGGTATGCATGGGGAAGTAGAGGGATGCATCACCACCTCCATGCTTCATCTCGAGTCCTGATCGTAGCAGTGAGCTTGTTCCCATTGGGGCTTGGAGGAACAGCAAGAGGTGGCATCAGGAACCTCTAGGAGAAAGCCACAACCCATGAAAACGTGATGGAACAGAAAAGGAAGCACCACATCCAATTTGCCTTTAAGGATTGTCCCATGGTTGTATCCCAGGGTGGGAGATGGGAGGCTGAGGATATGGTGCATAGTGGGAGAGGTGCAGAAGAACCCCATTCTTCATCTGAGAAAGCGCAGATGAGGACTCCTGAGGAGCCCTGTGGTTTCCCCATAGCAGGTCCCATCCCACCAGCAGGTCCCCTCCCACCTTCAGCCCTCCACAGATGAGCCCAATGTCCCCAACCCCATATGGTGGTGATAGGATCTACCCAAGGTCCCTAGGTTAGAAACAAAACCACAGTGCCCTGAGCCCTGCTGTGGGGCTGCTCCCACCAGGCTGAGCATCCCTTGGAGCACTCAGTGACAGAGCACCTCATACTCTGGATTTGTCCACTGGGTGAGGCATGTGGGCAAGACCCTTGTCCCAGGCTGTCCCCATACCTCCTCACTTGCTGTAGTGCCCAGCTCTGCTCCCAGCACACTGAAGTCATTCACCTGCAGCTCCCGCAGACAGCGCTGGATGTGGTGCAGGACCCCTGGGACCCCACGTTGGTGCTGCTGGAGGCCAGGCACAGTGCTTGGGGACAGGGAAGAGGCAGAATTTCTGTGCACCTGTGTCACAGCACAACCCAGGTTTGGAAGGATCAGGAGGGGGTGGCCAGGCTGGGTCCCACACACACATCTCTGCATCCCGCAGTGCTCTGGCTGGGGTCGGTGGCTCCTTCAGGGCTCCTGGGGCTGCCAGCTCCTGCAGGTGACAGTTCTCCTGACAGATGGCCCCATTCACCTGCAGTCCACATACAGGGTCACCCATAGGGTCTCAGGAACCAAGCCACCAACACTCCATGCTCCAACTCCATCCCTGACCTTCTCCAAGCTCTCCTGCAGCTGCTGGAGTGCAGCCGTCCTCTCCTTCCACAGCACTGCCCGCAGCTGCCCCAGGGCCTCCTGCCTCTGCCGCAGCACGGAGCGCATCTGGAGCTCCAGCCCACAGAGCCTCTGAAAAAGTGTCACAAAAAAGGAAAGGTGTCACATCCCAGGCCAATGCCAGCAAGGCTCATCCCTCGAGTGCAGGCTGTGTCGCTACTCAGCACCCCACTGCACCTGGGGCACTGGTCTCCCTCCTGAGAGCCACGGACCCTCAGGTGCCCAAAGTCAGGCTGCATGGAGCCCTGATGGTGGGCAACCAGCCCAGGGCAGGGATTGGTGCTGGGGAGGCTGTAAGGGTCCTTTCAACCCAACCGTGCTGTGATTTTGGTTCTGCAATTAAAACCTTCCCACAGATCACCTCGCTTTGGCTTTAGGAGCTCACATGTATCACAAAACGGGACACTCAGTGGCTGGGTGAGAGCCTTGCATTGCCAAGGGACGCATCCCTCCCACACCCACAGCACCCCTGGTGGGCACCAACCTCCTGCAGCTCCCGCTTCTCTTCTCTGAGATGCAGCATTTTCCTCCTCACGTTCCCTGGGCATCCAGCACAGCCCTTCTGCCCCTGCTGAGACAAGGATCCCCCTTCTACCTTCCTCCTGTTCCTCCCTCCTCTCTTATGGCACGGCCAGCACAGTCCCTGCCCTGCTGCCTCCCAACCTGTCCCTCTGTCCCCCCCTTCATCCATCTCAGAGCACTCACCACTTTCTCCACACGATCCCACGCACGTGCCCTGCAGAAAGGAGAGCATCACCCAGTGGGACACCCCAAAACTCCCTCATTGCCCATAGGACCCCAGAGCAGGGTCACAGCACACACCTGACCCCATCCCCATCGCTCTGCATGCCCCAGTCTCCAGCTCCTGGCTTCTGCATCCCCTCCTGGCTGCTCCTCAGGGCCCGGCGCAGCGCTGCCAGCTGGAGGGAGCAGGATGGACAAGGGTGGATGGCACTAATCCATCCAGCCTTGGGCATTGTTGCGGCGTTCAGCCAGCACTTATGCAGCTAATTAACTTGATGAAGGCAATGACTTTTACAAACTGGTTTTGAACAATCGCCCCTATGCTGGAGGGTTTTTCTTCAGGATTTCATTCGCAATTCATTTCTTTGATAAACGTCCCCGTGCTGACAGCCTTTCCATGGCCATTGTGGGGTCTGGAAAAGGTCCTGTGTGGGACCCAAGGACCTCCATATGGGGACAGCCACCCTACCATGCCCATCCACACGCACCCTGTGGGACAGGATGGCCTTCTGCTTCCAGTGCTGCCACCGGGGCTCTGCTGCATGCCCTGGGCAGGACACCCCATGCTGCCTCTCTGCCCAGGGGCTGCATCTCCCAGCAGGTCCCACTGCTGCTTTGGTGCCTGTAAGAGAAGGTTGGGGACACCACGAACCCACCAACGAGTGGGACTGGCTCTGGGCTGCCCACCCTCACTGCCACATGGCCCCACCATCACCCATCCCCAGGAGGGTCCCTGGCCCCACCAAGCCCCCTGTAACCCCTCCTGGACCCCTGCTTCAGCCCCCAGTACCCCAAGGCCAACAGCATACTCACAGAGAGCTCTCTTCCGCCCATCTCCATGTTCCTTCTTGGCAGTGAGGATGAAATCCCCCCCATGCCACCCCCGGCGTGCTGGTAGCTCCTGCCATCTGTGATGTCCCACAGCCCTGGCCCTGCTCTTGCTGGCTGAGCTGCTTGAGGGTCTCCGGAGATGTCCAGCGTCCCCATCCCCACCATGCAGAGAGGTGACTGAGGGCTTTGCCTTGGAGTGTGGTCCCCAGTGGGATGCATCCCCCCTGCCCTGTGCTTGGTGCTTGGAGGAGGCCAGGCAGGGGGTCTCAGCCCCACTCTGGCTCAGCCTGGATATCCTGGCTCCCAGTGACTCCAGGCTTCCCCTCCTCATCAGCTCTGGGGACTCATCCTGCTCAGGGCACTGCCATGGGAGCAGGGCCCCATCCTGCCCACTGCCATCGTCCTCCTCCTCGTAGATCCCCCCTGTGTCCTCCCAACACCTGGCAGCCACATCCTCGGTGCAGACAGAGCTGGAGCTGCTCCTGCTGCCCCACCGTGACCCCCAGCAGCTTCGCACTCCACGTTCCACCAGCCCTGTGTGGGGAGCAACAGGTCTGGAGCCCCCCAAGCTGGGATTTGCAGCCAGAGCTCTGCCCTCAGCGGGAGCCCCTGCCAAAATGCAAACAGAGCAGGAGTCACTGTGTGGGCTTTGGGTAGAGCAATTTATCCCATAGCACAACAGCACGGCATGGCAGTAAAGACACAGGGGCAGGATGCTGCATGCTCCACTGCTGCAGCAAGGAACGCCCACCGGATGTGAGCCCTACATAAGCTCTGCTCTCCACCGCTCACCATTTTGCCCTCTGTGTTGCACTGTCCCTTATTTAAATGGGGACAGCTGTAGGATGCTGTGCACAGAGTGAAGCTCCCCATCCCCACTCACCGGCCGTCCCACAGACACTGACAGTGTCAGGAGAGGCACTGCAGGCTCTGCCACGTGTCCCAGCACTGCGCTGCTGCAGGGAGGATACGGATGGAGCACCCCAGATTGCAGGGTTCTGCTCCAGAAGGCTCAAGGTCCTCATTACGCTTCAGAGTGAACGTCCCAAGCAGGATGCAGCTGGGCTCAGCTGTGTGATGGTTGGGGGGCACAGAGTGGCACCTCCCTGGTAAAAGAGGAGAGGTCAGCGAGCTCAATGCAGCCCGGAGCTGATCGGCACGCTGTTGTCTGTCACCTGGCAACGTTGTGGTGTCCTGGCCAGTCCCAGCCCGCCCAAGGGCCTCCTCCACCTCCCCTGGGCCTCCTCCCCAGGAACTGCCCCTGAGGCTCCGTGTCTGCTCCTCCTCCATCAGAACACCTTCCTGGTCCCTCCCAGCCTTGAATTCCTCCCCCTGGGGGTCCATCCTCTCCCTGGGACACTGCAGTACCATCTCTCCAAATCACTGAGGCTGGAGCTCGATGATCATTAATGTCCCTCCCAATTTAAGACATTCTATGATTCTGTGACCTCCTCCCAGATCCTCTCCTGCCCTGGCCCTCCTAGAACAACCCCTTCCTTGGTCCTCTGTCCCCTCTGGGTCACCTCCTCCAGAGAACCTCTTCCATGCAGAGCATCTTCCCCATTGCCACCTCTCCTATCTCTGCTTAGCTAGCCCTCCTCCCCCAAACCACCTCCTGCTCTGGACAACCTCCCCATGGCCACCATCCCTCAATCTCCTCCCCTGGGCCATCCTCCTTTGGGCCACCTCCCCACGAACCTTCCCTGGGCCTCCATGGCCTCCCAATGGACAACTAACACTCCTTGGATAGCAGGGTCACTTCATGTCCACAGCCCCGCCACCCCAGGGCTCCCCCCAGGACCCCCAACCTGCAGATCTGGGGGGCGAGAGAGAACCTCAGCACTGCACCTTTTAAAACTCCTGAATCCAAGTTTTATTACCATGTAGGAGAAGAGGGGGGTCACTCACAATATATTGCTCGAAAAGAAATACATTCAACAGCATTTACAGTAGAATGACATTAAAATCCTTTGGTGGGGAGTATGGGGGAAATAGAAAGACCAGGAGATGGTGCTCAGATGAAGTGCTGCCGTTCGGTGATCTCTGGAAGATACCACAAGTTTCAAAATTAGCCTAAAAAACAGGGGGGTGGGGGGGGATTCGTGTTGCTGGGTGCTCCTCACACTCCCCAGGCTCTGCTAAGCTGTGCAGCATCTGTGACGGTGATCCTGGGAGAGAACAGAGGACAGGAGCTTGCAGCGTCCCACCTGTAGGACGTGGTGCCAACAGTCCCTGAGCAACGTCACCCTGCATCCTGGGGACACGGGGCTCCAGCTCTGGGACATTCTGGGGTGCAGAGGCTGCTCACCTTTCCCAGCTCTCTTGCATCGATGAAAAATATTTAAAAGAAAAAGGAAGAAAATAAGGCATTATTGAGGTGGGAGCATCTCCAATGCAGATCTGCGTGTCCTGGGGCTGGATGCGGCACAGCTGGAGTCAGCTGCATTCAACCAGCTCACACAGCAGCTTTCAGAGCTTTGGAGCAAAACGTCGCTTCTCCACTTTGGGAATGAATCAGCATCACCCCTGCACACCCTGCCTGGGGATGGGCCCAGGGAAGCACTCATCCTCGTGCTACAAAAACTCAGACAGATGTGTTCCGTCTTCATCATTTTTCATCTATTGTGTACCATAGAAATTTAAGCAAAATAATTTTATGTATATTTATATATATTTATATATATATATATAAATTAGAAGCAAATAAATAAGATTTAGGGGCACGTTGAGATCAGTGGGTGTTGCCACTCCAATAGCCACTCACTACTGTTATGCCATACAAGGTCTATGTATACTGTACACACAGGTTTGCTGCAGGCAGCAGGTGCTGGAAGAGAAGCCAACCAGGAGGAGACTGATGGTGGAGGAACCTGATTGCATAAGTGTTCCGTGGGTTTCGCAGTTCCCATTGCCTCAAAGTTCATTATTGCTAATTATCTCTTGATGGGGATGTGGCAGTCCGGCTACACGGGAGGGAGCACTCAGTACGGTGTGATGAAGACCCAGAGAACAATGAAATGCAGGTGTGCAGGTTTCTGGTTCCCTCTGTCACCTCTTGGGTCTTCCCTCTTTGTACCAGAAGCACCACAGTCATGGAAACAAAGCAGGTCATCAGGCTGAAACATCCTGATGGCTGTGATGGGGACAGCTGTAGGAACCACCCGCAGCCTTCCAGCAACGGCCACAACCCCTGCTATTTTCTGGGCAGAGATTCACAGCTGGTTTTTCGTTTGGTTTTGAAAGAATCTGAACCAGGAGCAGAATTTCTTTTTAACAAATGGGGGAAAAAGATGCCAAAGGAAAGAGCTCACACAAATGCACGGCATCCCACGACGCGAGCATCTTTGGAAGTTGTTGTCTCAGCCGATACAGCCGAGGTGCTGAAAGATACAGGCAGCAGCTCCTGACAGCAATAAATACCCGAGGCTAAAAACGAACCAGAGCCACGTGTCCTCTTTCCTAATTAGTAGCTGAAAAAGCCACCATTTAAAGAAAAAAGAAAAAAAAAAAAAAAAGAAAAAAAAAAGATGCTATTTATTAGTGCATAAAAAAATAGGTTTGGAATCCCTGTTTAGATTCTCTTTGTCAGATTTCTCCCTGTGTGTGTGTGTTTATCTGCACTGTCAAGCACTGGCAGGATGCTGCCGTGTGTCCTCGCTGTCCCTCCATCTGTCTGTCCTGCTGCAGGCTGGCCACACCAGAGCAAACACGGCAGCTCAGAAGATATCAGGGCACGAGCTCCAGTCCTGCTTGTCCTTGGCCTCCCAGTAGCCGCCTTTGTAGGTGCAGATCAGCTCCCCTGTGATGGGATCCACCTTCCGCTCAAACCACAGCGGGATGTAACCCTCGTAGTCCTTGCCTGCATGGGGAGAAGCAAGGGATGAAGATGAGGTTGGGTACGGGGAAAAACTCCTTTCTTGGAAAAAGTGGTCAGCTGTTGGAATGGGTGCTCAGGGAGGTGATGGAGCCTCTGTCCCTGGAGGTGTTTGAGAAATGTGGAGGTGGAATCACAGAATCATTAAGGTTGGAAAAGACCACTGAGGTCATCCAGCCCGACCATCAGCCCATCTCTACCTCAACACTCTAAACGATTTGGCACTTAGGGACATCACTAATTATCTTCTGATGGGGATGTGGCAATCCGGCTACAGGTGGCCCATGGGAGGGAGCACTCAGTATGGTGTGATAAAGACCCAGAGAACAATGAAATGTTCGCTCAGTGGGCACGGTAATGATGGGCTGGCAGTTGGGCTTGGTGATCTTACAGCTCCTTTCCAACACGGATGGCTCTATGATTCCATGAATGGGCACAGTGGAGATGGGTTGGTGGCTGGACTTCATCTCGGAGGTCTATTCCAACCTTAATGATTCCACGATGAGCAGTCTGCCCTTCCTCCCCAACCCTACAGGGTTTCCCTGCAGCCCCTCATTCCCCACCTCACAGCATCCCACCTTCCTCCAGGGCCTCCACAGCCTCAGCCTCCCTCCTGCGGCGCACAGCCCTCTGCTTCTCCTCCAGCCTCTGCTTCTCCACATTGGCCTCGTCCCAGCGGCCGCTCTCCATCAGCCTCTGGTCGGGACGCAGCCGGCTGTCCGTGGGAGCCACGCGCTCCTCAGGCTCATTCAGGGTGAGGGCCAGGCTGGAGAAGAAGTACATGTTCTCGGCGTTCTCCCTGCAGGCAGACAGACCCGATGAGGACCACAAATAGGGCTCCTGTCCCTTCAGGTGCTTGTGTCTCAAGCCAGCCTTCCAAAAATACTATACCTGTTATTCTGATCCCCAGAAACCACCCTTAAGGAGCTCTGCATCCCACCCCATAAGTGGAAATGGTGCCTTCGGGAGGCTAGGAAGAGATGCCAGTGATGCCTGCAGGGGCTCAGGGGGAGCACAGATTCATTGGTTTGGTATGGAGAAACTAAAAGCAAAGCCAGCATGGGGACGACATCACTCCCTGCCACAGCCAGCAGCCAGGAAAGCAAAACTCCAACCCAAGGAGCACGCCAGACACACAGCAAGCAACACCACAGGACGGGACTCACGGGAGGGGGTACTTCTTCCACAAGACCTTTGGGGACAGCGTCTGGTAGACAGTTTTCTGTTTGCCCTCGGAGCCGGCGCTGCCATGGCTGCTCTGCACGATTTTGGAGCACTCCATCTTCTCGTCCCATGTGCCCGACATGACATAATGGGCTTTGCCATCAGCATCACTCACCACCCCTGTCACCTGGCGGGAGAGACAGCAGTGTAAGAGATGGCTCTGGTGGCTTCTGAAAGCATCCAGACTCCTCGAGAAGTGAAATACAGTGACTCAAGTGGTGCTCACTTATGCACTGGTGCATAAGGACAGAACCCAGCAAGGTCCCATGCTGACACAGCCCCTCTGCCCTCCACCCTCATCCTCCCCAGTGCCATACACTGGTCCCAGCTGTCAGCTCTGTCCCCAACCCCCACCTGCAAGGACCTGTGGCACACTGAGTTGCTGGTGCAGCTCCGCAGCCCCATGCTGGCTGCATCCCACCCCAGTGCCAGGACCCCATGAGCCCAGCTGGGAGAACAGAACCCAGCTGGAAGGGCAAAGCCAGGCCAGAAGAAAAAGCAGGGAGATTTTTGGCTACGTACCTTTCGGGGGACATCCCTGGAGAAGTAGCTGTAGGGGGTAAATTTCAGCTGGCATTTATCTTTTGACTTATGGTTAACAATCTCTATTTCACCAGACTAGATAAAAGACACAGAATCACAGCAAGTGAGAGACTTTGCAAGGAGACAAATGAGCCATTAATCGTCATTTGTGCAGCTGCACATCAACCTCAGTGCAGAACTACATCTGCTCCCCACTCCATCCCCTCCAGCCCCACAGCATGACAGGCCCAAGTAAAACACCCCACGCCAGACCTGGCCTCACACTGCCCCGTTCCCCAAAGAGCCCACAGGCACTGACCTGGTCAATCCAAAGCTTGCCCACGATGATATTGTGAACAGTGGAAGTGACTTTCCTCCAGACGTAGTGATTCCCACTGGAGTGAAACTCGAGGTGGATGGCACCTGTGGAGAGCCCTGGGCTCAGGGTGGGGACTGGACGGGTGCCCGAGCACCAAGCACCATGCCTGCCTTCTGTCCTCCAAAAGCTTTCATTTTGAAAGCCCACGAGGAACATGTTGCTTGGTTCTCGGAGTCATAGGATATGGCACAAGCGAGCCCTCATCCCCTTGGCCAGGTCACCTACCCAGAGGCATGATGGAGAGGTATTTGCCCCTGAACTTGCTGGCGATGGTGATCTCCTGCCACAGCGTCCAGCCTCGCTTGGAGAAGACGTGGTGGGCAGCTGCTGGGGGGTGGTGGCTCACCTGGTAGGGAGAAAGGACAGCCCATCAGGTGCTGGCCCCATCCAGCGCTCAGTCATCACTGGAGGACCCAAAGAGAGGTGACAGTTTTGGTCCCAAGGATGCTCAGAGGCTGAGCCTGCAGCTTGTCCAGCACTGCAGTGCCTTCCCATGGACACGGACAGGAAAAGCAGATG